CATGTCCAGCAGCGCTTGATGGTGCTCTTGGTGGAGGCCCGCGAGCGAGTGGATGACCTCCGCAAACGGCGAACTTGATGGAGGCGGCGTTATCACTTCCTTCCCGGGTTTCGGCACCAGTGTAACAAAGTTCGTATTGGGAAGAAGGAAGTGACTCAAGTAGGCGGTTTGGAGACTCGTGGCCCTTTTATTTCTTTACTTAAAGTTCAACAAAACACAAACGGGGCACTTCCAGCGCGTTCTCAATCTGCCCAGGGCATAAACTCAGTTCAGTCAGTTTTCCTCCACCGGCTAAGGGATGGCCACGAGTCCCAGTCTCTCTCTCCCAACCACGTTCTCTAGTCTGCCTTTTATCCGGTCTCTCCAGGCTAATTACTGCAATCAGACACAGGTGTTCATCATTTTGCACTTGACCTACTTACTCACCGCTCATCTCCCGTCACTCTCTCCCGCTGCAGACTTCGCTGAACCACACCCCCCTCGCCACAGACAGGATTCACACTTTCAATCTGTATGATAAACTGTTTAATTTAGAAGATAGGCTACCTTAACTCAAGCCATATAATGATTGTAATGTGCTGAAACATATTAATATAATAAACGCAACCAAATGACAGGACTTATTAACATAACAGTCCGTCGATTAGCGTAAATCAACTGCTCATAAGGCTAGGACATATCCATTTAAAAAAATGGAACCCCTAAAGGGAATCGATGCGAGATGGGAGGAAAAATATACTTCAGTATCATCTGTCGCAATTATATCGTTGGGTAAATTACAGTGTATATAAACTGCGGGCATCAGGGAGCTGTTATTAAGACGCGGGGCATTTAAACCACATTTGAACGCGCACTTGTTTTTTACGTTCACTTTCGAGATTCGCGATCACATACGGAACAGCACTCGGCAGTACTTACCACACATTTGACAAGATTAGATGTTTGTCAGTGGTGCTCAGGATCTGCAAATCATTCGCCATCATCCTATCAGTCATCTCTCCTTACTCTGTTTATGTGGTAAGTGAAATGTTATGTACTGTAATGTAACAGGCTACCGTTAGCAAGAGGCTAACGAGGTCCCTTTAGTGGCTCCGTAGAATGCGTTATTTGTTTTCCGCACCTTTCTGAATACGGATTCAGCCACATCTCTAACCCAGTCAGGGGTGTTTGTGTGGTCTGCACAGAACTCTTATTTGACATCGTCCCAAGTTACTGTAACCGTTATATGCTACGCAAGTCATTTTTTATGCCATGCAAGTCTACAGTGTGCGTGTGAGACAATGCTGTGTTCTTCTGTTGTCTTTGACAGCTTTTAGGTGTGTTATTGGTAGCGCCACCCTCTGCTTACATGAACGCGTCACCACCGCATCAACACGGAAAACATGGGGAGATTTTTTAAGACAATAATAGCACAACCTATTTTGATATTCTATAATTAAATCAACTAATTGAATATTCGAAAATCGTGACCCATCCCTAATGTGGATACCAAGGATCATCAAAACAGCTTTTACTCTTGTCTTGCAGAGGTCAGTTGCTGGGCCGCAGGTCTTTCGAGGTGCGTGTGTGTGCGTGCCCAGGCAGAGACCGGAAAACTGAGGAGAGCAACTTCAGGAAAGACCAGGAGACCAAAACCTTGGGCAAGACCCCTTCTACCACCAAACGCAGTAAGTTTTGCGTGCGTGTATGAAAAATTCAATTAGACTGCACATACACTGCTCATAATTAATCAAATTAATTTCTTCAGAATGTTATAGTAATGTGAATCTGATCTGACAGGCATGACTAAAGAATCATCTTCATCCACACCTCGACCTGAGGGCAGGAGGAAGGCCAAACTGAGCGCGAGCAGTGATGAGGAAATCTATACCCTGCAGGTGATCATGCACCTTCCTGTCTCTTTTCTTTTTATCATCCTCCTGTGATTTTCATGGAAAATCGTAATGGGTTTTATTGAGGGACAAATTAACTAATAAATTAACTGCTAAATGGTTGTGCCACATAATGATAGTAGGTAGTAAATTAAGCTTTGTTGAAAAGGCACTCACTATGATTCCTATTAAAAAAAAAAAAATCTTCTGCAGCCTCTTGTCCTTTTATGTGTCTCATATTCTTTTTAATGTATACCTTTATTTATTTTTAATTGATTTAGTTTTTAAAAAAATTTAACCTTTGGAATTTGAAGTTTATTGCAATTTGTACAAGTACATTGGAATTCTTGTGCATTTCTCAGAGTCAGCTTTTGTAGAAAAGCAAGGAGCAGTAAACATTCTCAAAAAAAAGTGCAAGAGAAAAAGTAAAATGAATAAGTTGTATTGCACAATCTTGACTGTACATAAATAATATTGCACAGAACATAAATTTTGCACAGGGCCAGTAATATTGCACAGTGATACTGCTCACAAAAATAACAAATTAATACACTGTTGTTTTGGTTACATTTATTATGAACCTTTTTATGATTACCCCTTTTTTTAATAATTTTTATTTAAAACACTTTAAATTTCCACTGTATGACAGGTGCTTTGTAAATAAACATGCCTTGCCATGCGTGTTATTGTACTAATCTAGCTTGTGCTTTTTAAATGGTATTGTGTACTATAAATATGATTGGCTAAGACCTTTATCAAAAAAAAGTGTAGTCTGTGTTTGCATGACTTTTAAGATGAGCTTTCTCTTCATGCAGGTGAGGGGTAAGGAAAGGTATGAAATGTTGAAGAAGATCAACGACAGTTTGGAATTGAGCGACGTGGTACCTCCATCTGATATGGACAGATACCGGCAGAAATTGTAAGTGATATCATGCCACAACTACACCCTGCACAAATGTATTTTTTTCTCAAAATCAAAACTGTTACAGCATCTGTCAACCGAGCTCATTTGACACCTCATGTACACACTACATTTAATTTATTACTTTTTTTTTTTTTAGATTCACCAAGGGCAAGAAGGAGAAGGATGGCCAAACGACTGAGCCCAAAAGAAGCAAAAAACTAATGCTTAAAGATGAAAAAAGTGACTCGGATTAGGATGGCGGGATGCTGAACCAAAAAAAAGAAAGAATAGTTTTGCCTTTGTTTGACCAAAACGGCTTGTCATAGAGAGCATTTGATGAATTGCGGTCCCTTGATCCCTCAGTCCTGTATGTCATTTTTCATCTTGTTCACTCTACTGGGACCTTTGTAAGTCAGCTGATCCAGAAGAGGTCTATATGAAAGAGGCTAGTATTGGCTGGGCGTTGTAGGTGTGTAGTACTTTATCAGTACTGACCCATCATTTTGTAAACCCGATAAATGAATGTCCAGCAGTGAGGAACTGTGTGGGATTTTTCCTGTTGTAGGTCAGTGCAGGTCACTTACCTCACAACACGTAGTTTCTTCTCTCTGGTAAGGTTGTAAATTTGTCACTGACTTACTGGATGCCCACTTTGTTGAAAATGTACTAATGCCAGTATTTTGTAACCTGTTTTGTAAGTTTTTTTCTATTACTGATTAGATGAAACCAGCAGAAATGGTTACAAGCCAAATAGCTATAATAAAAATATGAAAAAATAATAATAATAATAACCCCCTATTTTGTATTTGGAATCCCTTTTTATTAGGTTAATTTCCGTTGATATTCATAAGCAAATGAAATTGTCTAGAACTCAGGGCATTTTTGAGTCCCTCCTGTAAATCTTGAGAAAACTATTCTACTGTTCCTACTTGATCTATATTTTATGCTGTTTTTTTCCCCGTTTTATTACTGTATACACCTATACATCTTTTATGCATATATACACAAGCATTTGTAGGTGGGGAAGTTTTTTTTATTTTTTTTAAAGTGTTTTTTAAATACATAAAATCAAATAAAAAAAATAATTTGTGTCTTTATTTCTTTTTTGGTTCCAGCATTAAAGCACGGTAACGTTTTTACAATTTTAAATAATGAAGGTAAGAAAATACATGCATGTAAGATTCATAATAAAGTAATTACATTGTGTGAACATTACCATAAAAATAACAACATTGTGTTAGAACTATCAGTTTTGCGCTTGTAGACAATCACAGTGTGCCTTGTATAGTATTTTTATGAATCTCTCAAAATATTCATTGTTGGCACTCCAAGCAGCAAAGCTTCTGAAACCACAAAACCCCAAAATTTATTAAGATGGTTCCAAATCCAACCCACTAAATGTAAACACTTTCTTTCCACACTAGATTTACATTGTTAATAACAATCATGTGGGCTAGAATCAAATGTTTTTTAGTGCTAGTGATGTGATGTGTGGCCAAGTATGGTACCCCATACTCGGAATTTGTGCTCTGCATTTAACCCATCCAAGTGAACACACATACCCAGAGCAGTGTGCAGCCATTTGTTGCAGTGCCTGGGGAGCAATTGGGGGTTTGGTGCCTCACTCAAGGGCATCTCAGTCGTGGGTGTTGAAGGTGGAAGGGAGCTCTGTTCATTCACTCCCATTTACAATTCCTGCCAGTACTGAGACTCCAACCTGTAACCTTTGGCCACAACTGCCTCTTTGGCTTATATACAGACATTTTCTAAAAATCATTCACTGTACTCCTAGGCATTTTTGATTTGAATGAAATGGAGAATATCATTCAGAAGCAAACCTCACAAAAATGATGTAAAGAATACCGATTCATCAAATTGTTAGCCATGCTCCACAAGGACGAATTGACCTGTACATTGTGAGTACAGCGTTTCAAGTTCACAGAACTTTGTATACACCAACGCCAGAGTGATCTGAGGATGTGTCAGATTTCATCATTTTCCATGAAGAGAGAACTTGAGAAAATTCTCAGAATTTTGCATCTGTGCTGAAGTTGAAATTTACAACCAAAACATCTCAACATTATTCAAATGATCTGACAATTGTGATCATTTTATCCACCTTTCCAATCTGCTTAGATCCAGATGATTTTAAGCTGTGTTTATATTTAAGCCTTAAAGGGCAGACTATCTGCCCTCATTAGTCCCCTATTAAAACATTTGTCGAGTTAAAAGAATTGTAGATTTTCACGAGAGGACGTCTCTGGTTTGACTTCTGTGGAGGACAGTGTGATCAGTGTGCGACCATCCAGTGGTGCGAAAAGCGGGTGCAACTTTTCACGGAAACTTGCGATGAATGTAAAGATATGTGAGCGTGTCTCTACTTTATAGAAAGACACTTGTCCTTCTTCGTAGTCCAGGTAGACTCCCAGCTTTTTGGGCACAAGGGACAGAGGTAGCTCAGTCTCCGGCTTGGTACATGCAAAAAACTGCCGTGTGCTTCTCCATATTGTCCAGAAACCCTCAGAGGGGTTCATGGGACACCGGCCAAGCCTTTTGGAGGATGCAGTGGTCACTCCGATACGCCAGTAGCCATCATTGGCAATATCAACTTCCCAATAGTACCGACCGGAAGTGAGCCCTTCCCAGCCCAGGACACACGGCCAGCTGTCAAAGCGCTGGGTACTGAACGACACTTCAGTTTCATTCAGAGCTTCCTGTACCTTTCTTTTGTCATCTGAGAGCTGCAGCCATGGGTGGTTAGTCGTGGGGTCCAGTGTGATGTCCACTAAACAGGTGCAAAACAGGTACAGAGGTAAAATCGAAAAGCTTTCTTAATTCAAAATGAACTTAATTTGCAGATGAATCATAAACGGCTGAATCAGTGATACCTGAAGCACTGCGGATCCATCTCCACACTATGGAAAAAAGCGATGAACATTATTACAACAGTGATATGATGAATGTAATTACTGTGCACTGAACAAGATAAATACATAAATCAGTACCTGAGTTTGGAATGTACTTTGGTGTCTCTGTCAAAACAAATTGTACACATTGAATTGTCAAAAACGTTTAATCATTTAAATGATCACTTTTTCCTAAAAGGAATTTAATATAATTTGCCAAATCAGCGTTTAGTCTACTGAAGGATGTAAATTGAAGTTTCACCTGTTTTCCAGGTGCGTTGTTTGTTGAGGAGCCATAGCTGTGGAACAACACCCTAAAAATATACTAATTATATTATTGAATGACATTATTATATAAAGTATAATATATAGGAGATAGTATTGTATACCTAATTTGTAACTGTAAATAAGAAATGATTTAGCTGATTGTATTAAAATATATTAAATAAAAATAAATATATAAACTATAAATAATATCTAAATAAATATATAAACATATAATATATAAACATCTGCATTTGTAATTATGCTGAAACTGAATCTCTGTCCATTTCTAGGATCTTCAAAATACGTTACCCACTTGGGGATGAGCGTACCTGTCTGTAAACGGTTTCAAACTGTTTACACAAGCAGTATCTCTTGATTATGAATGTTTGTTGACTCAGTTTATGGGTGTAAACTATGGACTGTAGTTCGAATTTTTCTGTATGTTTGTTGATCTCTTATCTTAAACTTGTACCTGGCTGTCCTGTTTCAGTAGAGACCAAGTTATGAACTCCAAAAAAGGCAATAGAGTCAAGATTTTCCTCTTCTTCAGTTCCAGCTGCTTGAGAAAATGGGCTAATTCTTGTCTCATCACACCTACCCGCTGTACACGGGTAAAAAAAAAGACATGTGCACACATAATATACTGCACATAGATTTAGCACATTATTACATATGTCACATGGGGTCAAACCTACTGTCCTCACCTCCGACGCAGTCTGTAGCTCTTTAGCCCATTCCATGATCTTCTGCTCCATATGTTTGGAAGAATCCACCTTGTGCTCTTTCTGCTCCAAGGATGCATCTCTTTCTTGTCGCCATGTGCCCTCACTGAACAACTATAAGAAGGAGAATATAAACAGAGATAAACTTAGCAATGATCTTAATGAAAATAATGCATGATGTTTATACATTTGTATCTTTTATCCTTGAACTCACATCGTCAACTTTCTTGAGCTCCTTTGCCCATTCAAGGATGAGTTTGCGGCATTGCTCCAGACTATACGGCTCTGCATGCACATTGATATTTGGGCCTTCATCTGCACTGGAGCCAGGCTAAAACAAACACACAGTTAATATTTATTGTGATATTTTAGACATTAAGTGTAGACAAACACACATTACTGTCTGCATCAGCATCACACAGTCCTTATTCCCACTCTTCAGACCCACAAAGGCTGTTAAAGTGTGTGCATTTCATTTAATGACACCGAAACCCTACCTCACCCTTCCGTGATGCATTTCAACAACAGGACAATGCAACCGTAATGACAGGGTGACGGGGTTAATTCTGTCTTATCAGTAGCTTTATGATACATGAATATGAGGCATGAATATGATTAACCATTACTGTGTATAAGATATTGCCAAGCAACCTTTATAACATTAAAATGACAGTTCACCCAAAAATGAAAAGCATTCCCAACTGACAAAAAAAAAGCTATTATGTTTTGCTATGAAAGCATTACTTTTGAATGTTCTATGAAAAAAAAATTTTTCTACGATCGTAAAGGGAACATTTTATCATTTTATTTTATGGCACTTTTGAATATTCTCCAACCAAAACGTTTTAGAAATAAAATGTTCCATGAACAATGTATAAATCATGTTTTTGTGCTAATGTTTTAAGAAAATTATTAAAGACCATTTTTACATTATTGGAAGAACGTTCATTCATAACTTTGAGAGAACCTTGACAAATGTTGTGCCAAATCTGCATGACTCATTTTTGGTGGGGATTTTTCTGTGACTCTTTCTGCAGGTTTCATTGTTGCTCAGTAGGTGACAACAAATTACTCTTTTTGAGTGAAAAATCTATACATTTTAGACTATAAAAAGCATTACATATTACCCTGCAGACATGTTCCACCTGCTGTTTCCACTGAGTGATAAACTTAACGCATTCCTGCAGGCTGCGGAGATCCTTCAAGTCCTGTAAACAACAGAAAGGCGAGGTGTAATTTATTTGTAATTAGGAAAAAAGGTTGAATTTCAAAACCGTGCAGAAAAGAAACTCTGGAGGAAGTACAGTAGAGTAAGATGGGGTAAGTCCCCCCCACCACCTTGTTTTTTTTTTTTCTCTTGACCACATGGGACAAAATCTCACCTCAGCACATTTGATGAATGGCCATGCTATTTTTAATCTGAATATCAACATTTGTGAGATTTAGTCAGTCCAAATAGTTTTGAGGTTAATTGATCTAATTCTGTGTCTCTGGAAAAGAGTGATCTATGTCATACTATTATGTTGAATGGCTGAAAACATGGCTGTTTTTTGTGTCTATTTGTTAACGAGGGATTTTTGGACACATCAATGTTTTTTTTCTTTGTGTGAAGTAAAAGTTATGTCTTTTATTTTGAAGTAAAAAGATCAAATTAGACCCTAGGGTAAGACGGCCCCCTTACTTATTATTTTTTAAATTTAATACTGATTGTAATTAATAGGGTTATTATTTAACATTTCCATGGATTAGATGTACATTTCAGACATCTTTGCTTTCATAACAGCCTAATTATTTGAAATCATTACATTTGGATTCATAGTGTTGCTATTATGACATATCTTCCATTAAAATATGGGCAATTAAATATGTAAATATTCATATTCCTGTATATAAGTCATAGAGCCATTTTACCCTTTTAGATAAATCTTTTTACTGGGATTTTTTTTATGTCTGTCTTTGATTATTTTATTATTCAACTAAACTATCTGTTGGTATACCTTTTGTCTAGGACTCTGACTGCTCTTGCTAGGAACTGAGCTGTGAGCCTGAAGACCTTCATCAGGAAGATTCCAGCGTACAGCTCCGATAGTTACACTCAAACCAGCTTCAGGCGCCTCATATTCTGTGACACACACACAAACATCTTTCATTTCTACTTCTTAAACATTCAAACACACTATAAAATGTGCATGATTGCTAAAATCATAGTCTAGAAACTTACTTTTGCTCTTCAAGATACTCTTCATGTTGGCTGGTTTATCCATTACTGTTTTGAGTACCTCAATCTTTAAAAGTCATCACAAATATATCCCAAATGAAGGTAAAGTGCATATAAGCTTTTACTTACTGATTTAAAGGCTAATTGAATGGGGGATGGGGGGGGGGGGTCTCTTTCTGTCTTTTTTAAATATTAATACCTGTTTTTTACAGTCTTTGATTAAAACATTATGTTTAAATCAAATAGAATATAGGGAAGTTTACAGCCCTCACCTTCTCTACTGCAGGAGCAGACCAGCTCAGAGATGTGAGTTGCACGCCGGCAGATCCAGAGCACAAGACCCAGATCCTCTCCTGTAGTATTATGTCATCTGTATGGACTACACAATGAACTTTGTCTCCTCAAACCACCCTAGTCATTGACACATGATATCTCTCCTATCAACTCATGTAAACTTCTGTCAACTAAAGGAAAAGCTTATGTAATCAATTTATGTGGGCTGAAAAGCTTTATGTAGTGTTATGCTATGGTAAGGTCTAATCTTTAATTTCAAAGTCAAAGTTACTTATAATATAAAATAGAATAAAGAGGCAACATACAAGCATGACTGTGTGTTTGGTTTAAATAGCAAACTGACTTAGAAGAAATAAAGGCAAAATATTTTATTCAGCTTCTTTATTGAGTTGTTGATCTACTAAAACTGAAATTAATAAAAAATACAATCAATATCTCTGTCAATATATTGAAATGTACTGTGAAGTTCAGTCTAAGCCAAGACCAGAAATGAATCATGTGAAACTGTCCACTTCCTGTAAGCAAGTGCAATTTCACTTGAAATAATGAAGTAAACTGATAAAAAATGCATGCTGAATATGCATTTCTATATTAAACAACACTAAAACAAAATTAAACAACTGGGACAGCAACAGACATAATGAAAATATGTATTGTTCACCTTTCTCACCACACCCAGATAATTGTCATTTCAAGATAACTGCATATATCGTTTAAAAGAAATTAAACCACCCTCGTTGTATAGTAAGTTATTAAATAACTCAAAGGGTATATCTTTTCATTTTTAATTTAAGATTTAGGCAGTAAAATGCTACTGTGATCAGCTAGTCCAGTTAAGGAATAGTTAAGATAGTTTAATTTGCTCATTGATTCTTTAAGGAGTCCATAATGCTCCTTTCTGTAGACCTGTTTTTAAACTTAATTTAAGAGTTATGATGGAAGAATGACTCATTAAGAATGTCAACTGGCCTTAATTTTGCTTGCAGTTGTGCAACTGCATTGCTATTAGTTAAGTCCTTATTGTTTAGTATTCAGTGTTTATTTGCTCCATATTCACAGGTGAGAGCTCAGCCATTTCCCTGTTACATTGATTGGTTGTGGAGGTTTTAGTTTTAGATTAATGTACAGGCTCATCCTTTATCTTGGTGAGTATCTCCATGATAAAAGACGATCACATTGAAGGCCGTGTATGTGTCGTGTGTGGTGGTTGCATAAGCATTGAGACTTTATGTGGTGTCTGTGTGTACATATATTTGATATCGGGACAATTTGAGGCTCAACATACTATATAACAAAGGATAACAGACATGTCATTGCATGAGTATTTGAACACCACAAAACAAGATCACTGTGTTGTATACAGGTATTTTAGATTAATGCAAAATATTATGCATGACAGAAAATGAATCAACAATTCACATGGATTTAATATATATATATATATATATTATTTTTTATTTTTTTTTAATAGGCAGTTCCTGAATAAAAATGACAGCCATTCCAGACTCTGTATTACGATACCTGGGATCAAACAAGCAATGGTTTGGCTAACAACAAAGAGTTACAACAGGTAAGCTAAGCTAGTGTGCTGTGTGATTATGCAAAATGAGCATCAGTTTCTACATAGATCCTAAATGTTGGTGTGTGTTTAACTCCAACTCTTGAAGAACTGTTTAAAGAGGACAGACTCACGGCCCTGAGGGAGAATTTCCACCTAAGGACACAAAGAAATGTGGTAAAAGAGGTCACAGTTCCGCACAGAAATGAAAATGAAACAGTGAACTGCCAGTTATTGTACCTGTGTTCTCATCCTGGGATAGTTCATTTCTGTAATAAACTCATCTGCCACCTTCAGGGCGACTCTCTTCTCCTCTGCATTGGCTCCATTACCTGTGCATCAATGAAGAAAGTCAATGAACCAATAAAGTATAATTTACTATTCACACAAACATGAACAAATATGTGACCCTGGATCACAAAACCAGTCATAAGGGTCAATTTTTTGAAATTGAGATTTATACATCATCTGAAATCTGAATAAATTCTGGAATCTGAGGGTGCAAAAAAATCTAAATACTGAGAAAATCGCCTTTAAAGTTGTCCAGATGACGTTCTTAGCAATGCATATTACTAATCAAAAATGAAGTTTTGATATATTGACGATAGGACATTTACAAAATATCTTCATGGAACATGATCTTTACTTAATATCCTAATGAGTTTTGACATAAAATAAAAATCGATAATTTTGACTCATACAATGTTTTTTTTTGACTATTGCTAAAAATATACCCCAGCGACTTAAGACAATCACCTTTCCAAACATAGATTTTCCCATTAGATCCATTGTCCAGGATGAAGCAGTCATCTTTCTCCAGCATCTCTTGACTGAAAAGGCCTTTGTCACACAGTTTTGTCAAGGTCTTTTGGCCTGTTGCATTAGACACCTGAGAGAGACAATTATTCAGATATGTATCCCTAATCTGAATTATTTTCCTAACATTCTTATCCTTCAAACAGCAACAGGTTTTGTTTGATTAACCAATTTATGGATAGACAAACAGTTTGATTGACAAAAAAAGGTTAGATAAAGCACAATACACCGTAAAGAGAACTGACCTTGTAAAGGGAAGCAGAATTAGTGATGTCTGCTTCAGCGTCTTCTTCTGTTGAACTGTCCTTCAGAGCTGGGATTGGACCAAGTGCCTTTTAAGTAAACATAGAGATGGTGTTAACATTTCTAACCTATTTATGCATAAACCTATGTATACGAAGTATGCATACATTCACCAGTGAAAATACATTCAAGTGAATTTTAGGATTTCTTTTTAGTTGGTCTTTGTTTTGTTAAAGTGAATTTTAGAATTTCTTATTATTTGGTCTTTTTTTTTGCACGTCAGCTGCATGAACTTGAATCTGATGATCATGTTATCCAGCACGATTCAAAGATTCAAAAGTGTTTGTCACCTGAACCATCTCCAGTGGTTCCTCTCCCTCTGTCACATCGATGATGTGAGCTTTCCCATTCCTTTCAGTGTCTCTGATCAGCATTGCTATCTCACGCACCTTCTGTTTCTCAAACATATTGGCTTTGGATCCACTCCATGCGACTATAGTCTGAACATAAACACACATGCATTTGCGTGATAACACCAACTATATGACTGGCCATGTTTATCCAACTAAAATACCATAGCAGCAAAATGCCAGACAACATAACAAAAAAAAAAAAACTTTTGAAAAAACATACACACCTCTCCAAGGTCCAGTATAAAACAGTCACCCTTGTTGAAGCTCCCCCAGCTGAGCTCCACCTCTCTTGCACGGATGTTTTTCTTTCCTTTGACTTGGTACAGATGTGTAACTGGGCCAGTCCTGGACCTGGCATTCTTGAACCCAGACTCCACCCCGCCTTCCTGAGACGAGTCATTTTGTAGAGGTGCATTTTTTTAGACATACACAAACAGTCAAAAGTTTGGGGTCAGTAAGATTTTGTAAAATGTTTTTTAAAAGGCTCTTATGCTGACCAAGTCTGCATGTAATTGATCAGAAATGTAATAAAAACAGTATTATTGTGAAATATTCTTACGATATTTGAATATAATTTAAAATGTAATTTTTTCCTGTGATGGCAAAGCTGAATTTTCAGCATCATTACTCCAATCTTCAGTGTCACATGATCCTTCAGAAATCATTCTAATATGCTGATTTAGTGCTCAAGAAACATTTCGTATAATAATCAACGTTGAAAACATTTGTGCTTCTTAATATTTTTGTGGAAGCATTTTTTCAGTGTTCTTGGCTAAATAGTAAGTTCAAAAGAACAGCATTTATTGAAATATAAATGTTGATCAATTTATTGCACACTTGTTGAATACAATAGTAAATTCTTTGGGGGATAAAAATCTTACAGATTTGTTGTTTTTGTTCTTTTGCTGTCCCCTTACTCTCACCTTGTAGCTGACTCCTTTAGGGAAGAGTCCCATGAACTCAGGTGACTCGTATCCTTGCACCTGTCGATGTTGTACTGGCTCTCCTCCCAAGAAGCTGGCCAGTTGAGTGGCAAGCATGGCACAAGCACCCTGCTCATCCCGGGACGACTTCTCACCTTGATCAGGGAAGGAAAGCCAATAGTAAGAGAAAATTCAAAATCTACAGGAACTGATAGTTTCCCATTCTTAATTACACATACATACATACAAAAACACACTACAAACCCATCCACATGTGCAGGTCACTTCCATACTTTCCACGGTTGCTGAGCACAATATATGCATCTCCATTGTAGAAGGTTCCCCTCTGCGATGGGTCAAGGAGCACAGCCCTCATCTTCTCCACCCTCCAGACCCACAGCCCTGGCTCTCGCACTTCATGGGTAAACTGGCTCTGTGCTGCCCTCAGATTAAGCATCCTGCTAAGAAAGAGTAAGGAGAGAGAAAAAGTGAGGAGTGTTTGTGTGTGTGTGTGTATATGTGTGTGTGTGTGTGCACGCAGAGGTCGGGGGCTGCATTATGAGAAAGTCAACAAGTGAAGAGAGGAGGAGGTGAGATAAGAAAAGGGGGAATGAAGCGAGGAGAAAGCAAGAGTCGATGAGAGAGAGAGAAAGAAGAGTGCGTATGCACCAGGAAAGAGAAAAACAGGGAGAGTAAGCAGAAAAAAAAGGAAATATCAAGTATTACAGTGAAATATTCTGGATATTGTAGAAGCAATGCTATTCAAACAGAGAATTATGGCATATTTAAATACAGGATGAATGAAATGTGAGACATGGAAAGCAAGACAAATAGTTTAGGGAAGGAGAAAATGGGAATGAAGGAAACAGAAAGTGTAAATATGGGAAGTGATGGGAGAAAAAGAGCAGCAGACAGTGAGATCGAGCAGGTTTGATGGAGTTAGCCTGATCTTGACTGTAGAGGCGGGGACCCTGAAGGTCAGGGGTCAGATATGGAAGCAGAGCACAGGATTGCATGCTCCATTAGAGATGCACAATGGGAAGGGTGGTGGGAGGTGAGAGCAGAGAGATCACATATAATAGAGCTGTAAAATGATATCACACAAATAATTCATAAGGCCAACTGTTGCGCAGCCATACAAGACAAACAGCTTACATACACCCAGCTACGCTCACCAAAGACAGATAGACAGATCAACAGAGCAAGTTCTCCCCTAGTCACTGCGTTTACAGTGATTACTTAATTGCATTAAGCGGTCAGATGTGGCATCAGAAACAGAAATAAACCACATGAGAGTGACGTGTCGTCCATTGGCTGGTCTCACATGATCAATGTTAAAATATCTGAAAGTTTACACAATCACCATCTCCACATCAACCATTTCAAGAATGAGATGACAATTTATGTTTCCTCTTCAATGATTATGAGTGTAAATTTGAGCTTGTGTGATGTTGGAGCAGATGGTAAAGCGGTTGCACCCTCACTTTGATGTCTGCTGACAACTTCACTTCCCTATAACTTTCAAACATAGTATAAATAGTAAAACAGAATTCTATGAAATTGCAAACAAAATGACACTTTTTTTAACTTCACTAGTGCCATTTAAAAAAAATTCTAATTCAGTTCCTAAATTTAAAGCAAACAGAACACAGAATTGCGATTCGAGTTAGAATTTAAGGAATTTGAATAAATAATCTGATTATTGTAAAAGAAGTTTAACATTGTCATATAGGTACTGAAGGCAAGTATCGAAAATAATTAAAGTATTAAAAAGAAACAGTGTAGCCTAATCTTTTTTTTTGTAAAAGTAATAAAACTAATATTGAATATCTTTATAATATATTAATATATAAGTATATAATATATGATAATATATATATATATATATAAGTATAATATTCTATCTTTCTCTATATAGACATATATAGTTATATATTTAAGTTATGTTTTAAAGAGCCACAACATAACATTTTATTATCTGTCAATTTCCTACCTTGATGCGATAGTCTTTGTTGATGTCAGTACAGCTCCAGACAGTTCTTAAATGTAACAGTTGCCTGAACAATTGCCTCTACAGCATATACAGTTGACTGACTTGCTTCATGACTTGCTACCATTTCCCTCTCATAACTTACAAAGGCCAGGCAAAGTTATTGAGGCAATGACTGTATGGAGCTCTTGGTTAGAAGACAAAAGCTTGTTAACCAAATGATTTGCCGCAGGGAAAGTCTGATCATCAGCATCTCACATCTGTTGCAAACACATTGTATGCAAACACTTCTCTTTTTGACTACACAAGCAACACATCCTTTAACTGATGCTGTTCTTGTGGAAATTATGGAAAGATTGAGAGATAAAGGCCGTGAAAAGTGAAAAGTCGAAAGACAAAGTCAAAAGACCAGTATCTGAATATGTAACCCAATGAACTGAAGCATATTTTTGCTTTTATGTATTTTTATGGTTCACTTAATCCACAAATGTCATGTGAGCTGTTATGTACTAACGAACACAGGCTTAGGATTCATATCTGATATCTATCAGCATTACATATGGCAATGCGAAGTGAGGATAAAAGTCTGATTTCTCATTTATTGTTACAGAGAAGGCTCCCGTACCGCCTCCTCCGCACCACCAGAGGGAACTGTCCCCAGAGTATTAGCGATCTTCCATTCGGACTCCATTTCCCATCATCCCTCTTACCTGGGCCTGATTACACAATCCATGAATTCGCTCAGCACCACAAACTAAAACTGACCCCTTGAAACTCTCCCCTGGCAGTGGAGGCGCTAGACGGACGGCCTCTTGGAGAGGGGAGGATTTTAAGCATCACCGAAGAAGTCAAATTACATGTTGGAACCCTGCACTCTGAATTCATACGATTCTTCGTCATCCACTCGCCCAATCACACTATCATCCTAGGACTGCCCTGGCTCCGCACTCACAATCCACTCATCTCTTGGAGGGAAGGACAAATTATTCAATGGGACGTCAAATGTCAAGATCATTACCTGACAAAAATTACCCGCGCCTTCAGCAATGCCTCTCTATCCCCTGCTCCAGTCCCAAACAATCTTTCTCTGCCCTCAGAATACTCAGACCTCGCCGACGCCTTCAGTCAAAAGAAGGCGTCTCAGCTTCCCACTCACCGTTCTGTTGATTGTGCTATTGACTTAATGCCCGGCACCACTCCTCCTAAAGGCAGAATCTACCCATTATCTCAACCCGAATCTGAGGCCATGAAACTTTACATTGACGAGGAACTATCTAAGGGATTCATTCGACCCTCAACTTCTCCTGCCTCAGCCGGGTTCTTCTTTGTAAAGAAGAAGGACGGAGGGTTACGGCCATGCATTGATTACCGCGGCCTCAATGACATCACCGTTAAGTTTCGATACCCATTGCCCCTAGTTCCAGCCGCATTAGAACAGCTTCGCCAGGCCAAATACTACACCAAACTAGATCTGCGCAACGCCTACAACTTAATTTGCATCCGTGAAGGAGATGAATGGAAGACAGCGTTTTCCACCACTAGTGGGCACTATGAATATTTGGTAATGCCGTTCGGACTGGCAAACAGTCCTTCAGTTTTCCAATCGTTCATGAATGACATCTTCCGGGACATGCTCGACAGATGGGTAATCGTATACATCGACGATATCCTGATTTACTCAAACACTCTGGAGGAACACATCCACCAGGTTAGATCTGTGCTGAAACGCCTCATGAAGTATCAACTCTACGCCAAAGCTGAGAAGTGCGAGTTTCACCGAACTAGCACCTCGTTCCTCGGGTATATTATCAGTCAGGAGGGGGTAGCCATGGACGAGAGGAAGGTCAAGGCAGTGTTGGAGTGGCCCCAACCTCAGACAGTCAAGGAATTGCAACGTTTCCTGGGGTTTGCAAACTTCTACAGGCGATTCATCAGGGGTTTCAGTTCGATCGCCGCCCCTCTGACTACCATGACCAAACGTCACACATCCAGACTGAATTGGTCCCCAGAGTCACGTCTGGCCTTCGACGAATTAAAAACTCGGTTCACTACTGCCCCTATTCTCCGACATCCAGACCCAGAACACCCATTCATTGTGGAGGTCGATGCTTCTAATACCGGGGTAGGCGCTATACTATCTCAGCGTCATGGTTCCCGCGCTAAGCTGTACCCATGTGCTTTCTTCTCCCGCAAACTGAGCGCCACCGAACGGAACTACGACGTGGGCAACCGTGAACTTCTTGCCATGAAACTAGCGCTCGAGGAATGGCGGCACTGGCTGGAGGGGGCTACTCACCCATTTACCGTCCTAACCGATCATAAGAACTTGGAGTACCTGCGTTCAGCTAGACGTCTAAACCCCAGACAGGCCAGGTGGGCGTTGTTCTTCACCAGATTTCGGTTCACCGTCACATACAGACCGGGTTCCAAGAACACTAAGGCCGACACGCTCTCTCACGCCAAACCGAGGAAACAGTCCAAGCCACCTCTAGCGACACTATCCTACCTGGAAGCCTTCTCGTGGCACCTGTACAGTGGGATATCATGACTGAGATCGAACATATGAATCTTCAAGTTCCACCACCTCCCGAATGCCCTGCCAACCTCACTTATGTGCCGGAACCCCAGCGACAGCGACTGCTCTCTCAGGTACACGATACACCCAGCTCAGGTGAATCAGGAAGTGATTAGATTCCTCAGATCCTACTGTCAGCAACGACAATCGGACTGGAGCAGGTATCTATTTTGGGCAGAATACGCACAGAATTCACTGGTGAAACCAGCCACAGGGATGACCCCGTTCAAGTGTATCCTGGGTTTTCAACCCACCGATCTACCCTCGGTCACAGACTGGCTGCAACACAGCGAGGAGGTCTGGGACCGAGCTCACACCCACCTACTTCATGCTGTCAGACGACAAGAACAACAAGCTAACCGACGTCGACGTTCCGGTCCAGAGTACACACCGGACCAATGGGTATGGCTCTCGACCAAAGATCTCCGCCTCCGGCTACCATGTAAAAAGCTCAGTCCCAGGTATGTTGGTCCCTTCAAAATTTCTAGACAAATAACTCCAGTATCATTCCGTTTAGAACTACCTTCTAACTATCGTATTTCTCCTACCTTCCATGTTTCACTGCTTAAACCCGCTGGTGGTCCGAGAGGAGAGACGGAGGAGGGAGCCGGGCCGCAGACCTCCCTGCCTATCCTGGTTGACGGCGAGGAGGCGTATCGAGTGCACGAGTTGCTAGACTCCAGACTCCACCCTCCAGTATCTGGTTGATTGGGAGGGGTTCGGTCCGGAGGAGCGCTCTTGGGTCAAAGCTGGAGATATCCTGGACCCCACTCGCACCGAGGAGTTTCACAGGACGCATCCGGAGAAACCGGCCCCTCGACCTCGTGGAAGACCCCGGCGTCGCCTGCTTCCTCGCGTCAGGAGCCGCTCACAGGGGGGGGGGCTCTGTTGC